ATCGAAGATTTTAAAAAATTTCTTTTTTTTTTTTTTTGAGACGGGGTCTCACCATGTAGCCCTGACTGGACTGGAATTCACTATTGCAGACTAGGCCGACCTGACCACTTCTGCCTCCTGATTAAGGGCCGGGATTAAGGAAAGACACCTGCTTAAAGAGCAAAGCCTACACTAGGTGAACAAAGACCAACCTAGAGGTTGGGGTTACAGTTCATGGTGGGCGCTTGCTTACGGTGTGTGAGGGTTCACACTCTGCCCTACACGCTTTCAGAAAGAGAAAAATACCACTATCATCTGAAATGCCATATAAAGAGAAATTACTATGGGGTTAATATGGAAAGAGGCAAAAGAAGCCAAACCCTTCCATGAAGCCTCTTCCTTTCACTGTTGCTGGCCCCAGAAGTCCTCAAAAAGTCTAAGCCATCTATAGCAGGCAGGCGCTGCTGAGAAGAGGCCCAAGAGGGAGCTGGGGGAGGCTGTTTGCAGAAGCACAGCCAAAGCCACTACCACCCTGGCCTGGCCTTCTCGAGCCCTTCCCCCACTTGCTGGCTGGACTGGGTTCTGCCTGGGGACAGGATACAGAGGCAGCGGCCCATCTAGTCTAGCCGGCAGAGCAGCCCAAATTTGCTCCAGAGATTTTAAATGCTGTCACCCTGCATTTAACCCCTGCCTGACTACCTCATTCTTTCCAGGACAAAAGAGGTTTATCTGGGAGTCGTTCACCTGGGGCGGGGCCCATGACCTCAGGTCCTATAGAAGAGGCCCGCCAACAGCCCCACTGCGGCCTAGGACAGGGGCGTGGGTGTGCATCAGGTGAACCGCCCTAGCCTGGAGCCAGCAGACTGACTTGGGTAAGAGACTAGACCTGTATTCTTGGATTTCCAGACTGTCATTTCCCACAGTGGCCTGGAGGGAACAGGTGGTCACTGCTGGTCACTCTGCGAGCCCATCCTTGTGACAGCTGTAAGCTCACCAGCGAGTGCTCCACCCTCACCTCCCAGGATGTTAGAAACCACAGCCAAACCCGGTAAGAGGCAGAGATGCTGGGGACACAGCAGTCACCTGAGGCCCAGGACTTCTAGCTCAGTATCACAACTTCATGCCAGACGTTAAAAACGCATTCACATCAGCTGAATGGCTTTCCTTAGGCCAGAATGCAGCGATCCTCCTGAGCTACTTGGTTTTAGCTCAAGTCGGTCATGGACCAAGCCAGGACATTTCAGATTATATAGGTGCTTTTAAAAGTCCTCGGACACTAAGGCAGATGCCAGCAGGGATCAAAGAGGAGAGAGAGAGAGACCACTAGTCCTCATGGTCGATTTTGTACTAACTTGAAACCCTTCCACCCCAAATGTGGAAACCAAAAGCTATCTAAGACCTTAAGCAAAGGAACTAGCCTAGCCACCCTCCCCCAGGCCTGACCCCTCCACATAAACATGATTGCATAGACAGGAGATGTCGATGCAGTTTCTTCAATTCCCCTAAGACTCCTTCCCACCCCCGACCCTGGGAATTCCTCTTTGCAAGTTGAAGTAGCTGTGAATGGCTGCAGGCCCAACACGGCTCTCTGCGGAGTTCCAGAGACCCAGGCAGTACCAAATGCTAGTATCTCTGAAGGAAGGGCCTGCAGTTAGGTAACCTATCAGTCCAGTTAAGACTGCGCACAGGCCACATGCAGCCCCTCCACCCAACTCCAGAGTGGGTGCAAAGACGCTAAGCCGAGAGCAGTTCTTCCCTGAGATGTAGTAGAGGGCCCAGATGCAAATCCTGGCTGTCTCCTCCACTCAGCTCTATAGAAGCTTCCCAGTTATGTCAGTTCTTGCCAAGGTGGGTATTCCAGACTCAATCGAGTCAAAGCAGCAGTAGCAAGGGCCTGACCTGGATTTGCATGCCTTCCAAAAGACGTCAGTGCCCAGAGACAAGGCTGAACACGGGCTACCAAGACTGCTGTTCTGAACTGTTCCAAATACCAGTCCCCGCACAGGACACAACTTCATGCAGGAGCCACTTTGTGAGAGCAGGGCCCCGGATTCTCTCGGATCCTGCCTGTTGGCATGGCATCTCTAATGCTCAAGTGTCAACACAGGAGTCTGTCTGTCTGTCTGCCGTGTGTGAGCGCACACACACACTCACATGCTTGCACACAGCGATCCATCTGTCTCAGAAAGCCGGCTGTCAGAAATGAAAGTACAATCTCCTGGAACCAAATTACTGCCTTCTAAAAATGTCCCATTTTTCCCAGACTGAGGAAACTTGTAAGGGTGGGGTGTGGCGCTTCACTGCAGGTCTGCAAGGAGCTGGCCTGTCGTCCCCCTGCCCTCCCCCCAACCAGAACCAGACTGCAAGGCTGGAATTCCAACCTGAAGCCAGGGTGCTACTCCCAGGGCCAGTCCCCGCCCACTCCCCTTCCTCTTGCGGGCTCTCTGCGAGCGTGCAGGAAAGGGAAGGGCCAGCCTTGGAGTCACCCCTGCATTTCAGGAGGGGTTAGGCCTTTGAGCACGCCCCACCCCCATCTCCGAGGCACCACGTTTTCACATTGGGCTGTTTTCGCTTTCCCTTCTTCCCTTGCCAAGAGAATCAAGCCCTGGCTCACACTGGCGACCTTCCTCCCACCCTGAACTGAGCCCCATTCATTAAAGCCCGCTCTTAGCCAGGGCAGGACAGGAAGGAAAGCAGCACACAGGGCCTGTGAAAGAGACTGAGAGGTTATTTCAGGGGGGTGTCACCGCCCCCCACCTTGACTGATGCCCATCCTGCTCCGGCCCTACCTCACCCCACAGGGTCCACTACAGGAGCCCCTTCCCATCTCCTCCGGCCTCGTTCAACACCCCTGCCCCTTAAGCCCTCAATCTAAGCAAAGCAGACATTTAGTCCCTACACACAACCCTAGCACCACCTTTGTTAAAAGGCGGTGGTCTGGGCTTCCAGGATGTATGAAACCCTCTGCCTAGGCTCACGAAGAGACATTCCCAGAACAAAGAGGATCTTGAGCTTCTCTCTGTGCCCGTCACCTCTCCTCTAAGATACCCCCAAACCATTGGCATCAACCCAAAAAGTCCTTCCTACAACAGCCTCCACCCCAGCACATTAATACATGGCTCCAACTGTATCCAGAAAGAAGAAAGGGCTCCAACTTCGAAGCCTTGGGATTTAGTAAACCAAGAGCTAAAATTCAAAACAAACGCTCTTTCATGTGGAGGCCGCCTCTTTTTTTCCCTTTTTTTCTTTCTGCAGTTCTATTACACCACGACATACTATGCCATCCTAGCAGAGCCTCATCCATTGCTGAGGGGGCCAGGGGGGCGGGCACTAGAATGCTGCTTCCCAGCTCCTTTCTAGAACCGGCAGAACTTTAGGAAAGCGGGGTCCGCTGACCAGGTCATGCTGTTTGGCTCCTGGGGCGGGGTGCTAAGCAGCTCTCAGGCTGGTGGTTCTCAGCCTGGTATCGTCATTTCCTCCAGTAGAGGAGACAGACGAGATGTTATCAATAAGACAAGCCTTCTGAAAAGCCCCTTTCAAAAGCTACCACTTCCCTTGCTTATTTCATGTGGTTTGGAGAAGCCAGGGCTCCTCCCTGCACACCCAGAACTTAACAAATAGAGCGGCGAAAAACCAAGCCAAAACAAAACAAAAAAATAAATAAATAAAGCCAAGTTAACAGCATCCTGAACATGCTATTATTTTGCTCCGATTCTCTCCTGGTCCTTTCTTTTGAGACCTCTCAGCTCATTTCAGCCCTAGCAAAAGATGCAGACTTTCCAGGCCATCCTGGCTCCCTCCTTGGCCTGCTAGGGCCCACCCCCTTTCTCCCTCTGGGGTCCTTCTTTTCCTGCTCAGTTCTCATTAGAAGCTTTGAGTAAACAATACCCTCAGTCTCAGATAACAGTCAGAGTACACACTGGACTGAAATCAAAACAAACAAGGGTCCCCCTACTGCCATTTCCCAGCAGGCTCAATTCCTGGAGGGGAAAGTCTGGGATGTGGGTCCAGAATGGACTGTACCTCAAACCACACACGGGGACAACTCTTCAACAGTTAGTCAGGGGGAGTCTTCCCACAGCCCAGGGTGCGCAGAGCCCACAACGTCCACTAAGGGACGCTACACCAAGGCCCCCCCCCGCCAGCGACCGTAAGGCCAGCAGTTATACTGAGTGCCCAGAAAGGTCCTGGAATTTCCCCCGCCCCAGGTGACTTTCCCTCTTGTTTTAGCTAGTTCTCAGAAAATAAATGATGATGACCTGGTAGGGTAAGGAGAAATGAAGCAAAAGACAGACAATAACGCACAGGCTCTCTCTCCCCAGAGTACCTCCTCCAATCCCAGCTCTCCCTGGATCCATCTGTCCAGGCCTTTGGTAAGAAGGCCTGTCCAGTTTAGGCACCTATTGTCTACAGCAAGCCTGGGGCAACAGAACCCCACAGTCCACCAAGATCCAGCTTGCACCTGGGCTGTGTACCCCATAAACATGGGTCTGTCTCCTTCAAGGCATGCGTGCAAGAGCAAAAATAAAAGCATAAGCACATGAGGTCTCGCCAAAGTTAACAAATGGAAGTTAGGAGCAGCTTAGCAAAAAACCATGAGGGATGGCAAGATGGCTCACAGGATAAGAGCACCCACCACCAACACGCCTGATGACGTACACTCAATCCCTAGGGCCTACAGGGTGGAGAAGAGAAACAACTCCTACAGGCTGTCCTTCGAACACATGTGAGTAATGAACACACGCAAAATTTAGTAAAAATAAAAAATAACCACAAAGCATGTCTCACGCACAATCAGCTCTCAGCTGACTCCAGTTTCCCCATTCCTGGGAAGGGCAAGGTTCTGGCACATAAAGAAAGGACCACAGGATGAAGGCGGAAGGGCATTACAGTCAGTCACCCCGGATACGTCTAGTTTAAGGCATATGACGATGAGATCAACTCCAGACCAGTCGGGGTGGCAAAAGGCCACCCCCATTCCGTTAGCCTCCAGCAATTTCTAGGAAAGGAGAGTGTCTTACCTGAAAGCCCCCCAGGGGCCAGATAATTCGTTCCCCCGGTTTCCGCGGAGGAAGGCACAGCATCTGGACAGGCTGCTGCAGAGTCAAGAGAGAAAGAGAGGGGTAAATAAGCACAAAAAGAACATCAGAGTCAGAGGCTGTAGACAGAGATGGTTCAGTAGTTAAGAGTACTGACTGCTCTTCCAGAGGACCAGGGTTCAATTCTCAGCACCCACATGGCAGCTCACAACTGTCTGTAACACCCAGATCTGACGCCCTCACACAGACAGACAGACATGCAGGCAGAACATGAATGCACATAAAAATAAATAAATTATTAACAAAATCAGCGTTCATTCTTACAAACACTGAACAGCATGAAAGAAAGACCACACATTCCAAAGGGCTGACTCACAGCCAGCACGAGGCAGATTATTAATGGTCTACTCGGCTTCGTGGTGCAGCCTAAGACAGACCACAGCACCTTGTCACCCGTCTGGGCTCCAGGCGGCCAGTTAATCATTGGTCAAGTCAGGCTCAATCACAGACTGACTGGAATTTCTCTTCCATTACAAGTCTCCCATTGAGAGCAGGTAATTCCCAAGGTCAAGGAAGGCTTTCTCAACCCTATTCTCTCTTCTTCATCAGGGACAAAGCCCCCTTCCTCCCACTCCCATAGACAAGAGTCTCACTGTGGCCTTTAAAAAAAAAGCATTTTCCCTTTTAATGGAGATAATAAATGTAGGGATTGAGTGGACTCGCTGACTTCTACCACCTGAGCCTGCCAGCCCAGCAAGGACCAAGCAGGAGGGAAATGTTCTACCTGCTTCCAGACGGATCCCAAACCCACCTCTGGAAACCTGCCCAGACAACCCCATTCTTACAAGGCTGCCTGCCTCAGTTCCTACACAATCTCTCTGGCACGGTTTCCTTCCATTGTCTTTACTAGACCTTAACCTACAGATTCTGTCTCCTCTGCATCTCCCCTCCCTCCCAGGTGCTCAGCGGTGACCTCACTGCAATGATAATTCCAGCTGAGAGAGAGCGGACACACAAGACCAGAGAGAGAGAGAGAGAGAGAGAGAGAGAGAGAGAGAGATGCACAGACCCTTACAGCCTCCCTCCAAGCAATTACAACAAAAATAACGCCCATGAATCACAGCTCATTAGTCCCCAGGAACGCAAATGCACAAGCCCCAGGAACTGCAAGTTTCTTCTGCACCACTGCCAACACCAAATTTCTTCCCAAGTCCCCATAGAAAGTTTGGCTCTGGGAAAGCCAAGGCTCCACTGGTTTGTACAGACTCCAGTTCTCCCAGACCAGGCTACCAGGCATTAGCACATACCCCTTTGGCCACACTGGTAGGCAACAGAGAAGAAGCCTGGAGGCCAGTAAGTAACCTGAGGGCCCTTCAGTGGTACAATAGTTGTCTCTTGTCCCTGACAAAGGGAAGGAGACTACCAAGCCTGTCCAAAACACAGTCCTGTCCCCCCCAGAAGTCTTTTGCTAAGGATCCCTCCTCCCTCTGAGGTCTTCTCTTCCCAAAGTCAGAAAGAAGATTCACTCTTCAACAAAACCCTCCAGTGGAGAGGAAAGGGAGGTGGAGCACTTGGGTATATAGCACTTGCTCAGTACGCATTTAAAAATTAAAGAAAAGCCTCTTCTGCATGGGAGGGAGCATGGAGGAGTGGTTAGCAGGGGGAAAGAGAAGGCTGTATACAACCTCATTTTTTCAGGGAGAGGATAATCCCTACCAGGAATATACAGCTTTACAGGATACTCTTAATAATCAAATGGAAAACAATGGGGGGGGGGGAGGCAGGAAAGGGCGGTCCTAGCCCTATGGCGCAAGCCTGTACTTTCTAAATTACGATTCTTACCCCACCATTTTCTAGAGATTGGCTCCTCATTCCCCTCCTCCACTCCCCCAAAAGGGAAGACACCCCATGGCCACTCCCCCAGCTCGGGTTGGCAGAATGCCAGGGGCAAGGTGTATTTCAAAGGCTAAGCCTGGCCCTCTCTAGGGCAGGGCCTGGAGACCTCAGTCAGGGTGTCAGCTTGGCTCACATCAAAGGTGAACCAGCTCCAAGATGCAACCACAAGTGATTTTTATGAACCGTGCTCTGGCCTCTGCATCGCCTTTGATCTCAGGAGGGATTTACACACATTAATTAGGCCTCCCTACCACCCCTGTGAAGCAGCAACACATTCGATAGGCACCCAGGTAAACTGAGGTGCCACTGACTGGGCCAGGGGCCACCCAGGGAGCTGAACAACCTGGGTCCAGCTCCTATCCCCAGGGTTTCCATTCCCAAGCAGGCCACCAAGTTCTAAACCTCTTCCCTGGCACCGGCCAGGTTGAGCCAGTCTCTGGTGTCTAGAACCACCCCCAGCTATTCCCTAGCGTACAAAAGTCAAGTGGGCCAGATCTGCACCCACCCATCTAACACTCTACAATTGTAAATCTCTCAAATCAGAGTCTCATCTTCCACCACTATCTCCTGCTCCCCAGAGCTCAGTCTGGCAGACAGCAGAGCCCGGCCATCCCCATCTCCTCCACCACCATCTATTACCAAACACCTAATTAAGCCCAGGGATCTGTGGAAGACAGACACACATTCCCCTTCTCCCAGCAGGTCTAACAAAACTACAGCCTAGAGCCTGGGGAACTGTTAAGGTTCTTTCCAACTTAGTTCTGAGCTTCCCAGGTACTGCTTTCTAGAGTGACTGACAGAAGCAATAAGGAAATAAACGAACAAGTGACCTTAATCAAACTCATGTACAACTTAGTCTTAAAGAGACTCAATTAAGAGGGCCAGATCGCAGATCAAGATGCCAGGCGTTCTGCTAGGCTTAGAAGGCTGTTGCATGAAGAGGCCATCTCAGCAGCCAGTCCCCAGCCTCGGGGCAGCAGATACAGTGCTAACAGGAAGTGGTACCTTCAAGCATCCCAACTCTACAAAATGAGATCTAGGAACAAACAGCAAGTTCTTTTTCCTTGTGGGGGAAACGGGAACACCTTCATGCCTTGCCAAGCCCACAAGTCACAGCCACTTTGCCCTGAGGTCCAAGGCATGCCCAACACTCCCTGCAGGTAACTCTGTTTGGGCCAGCTTATATACAGAACCAGGCATAGACCTAGACCAGGTACTTCAAGAGGCTGCAGCCATCACAAACTGAGTTCCTAGTTCAACCTGCCAGAGCCTCCAAAGGCTCCCAGTTCAACTATACCAGATCCCAGTCCCTTCTAACAGAGATGTCAGAAAAGGGATCTCCTCAGCTGTGCTGTCTCATTAAGATTCTAACAGTTGTCCACAGTAAAACCTTATTTCCTGTTTCACCTCTGTAACCCAACACCAAACTCTTCAAACTCAGGCTGGGAAAGAATAACTGAATCCCCAGGTCCCAGCCCTTTCCCATACACGGGGTGGGGAGAAAAATGTGTGAGAGCAAAGCCCCCTGAATCTGTCTCCCTACAATACCCCTGAGTCACCACAACTAGCAAAACCTGCCCCCTAGACCAGTCCCTGAGCCTGCCGGGTCTGTCCTGACCACTCCTCTGCAGAGGCTTTTCTGCTACCCTCTCCTTGTTCTTCCTTACACAATGGTGCCTGCGTTTGGGTCCCTTTTCTTGCTTTGTGTTAGGCAAAACATTTGGGGTGAGTAACCAGCTGCCAGGGTTTCCGATTGGCAGGTTAATCACTTCCTATTGGCTGATCTGGGGAAGGTGGCTCCCCTCCTTGGAAATGGCACATTCCTGTCTTTGTGGCTTCTCTGTTTACACACATTTTGCTACCTAATGTCAACACTTGCTAATGAATAAATATATCACTCCACTCCCCGAAAATGAGGTCCTGGCCTGCCAGAATGACTGCTTAAATCTTGCAAACAGATTTACCCCGTATCTCGTCTGCAAACCCAAGAGCAAGTGGTCCTTCTTTCCTATGGAGTCTGGACTTCAGGGGAACATCTACCATAGCTGTCACCTCTAAGGCCACAGGGACTTCTCTTTCAGTTTAAGGTTAACTCCCCACATTTGAAAGATACAGAGGGAAAACAAAACCAGAGAGAGAGAGAGAGAGAGAGAGAGAGAGAGAGAGAGAACTGAAGGGGACCCCTGGCGAAGTAACCTCCTGGAATGATTTGACTCTTAAAGCCACAAACTCAAGCAAGCATGTTAGAGTCCTTAGAGTTTGCTAATGCCAGTTAAAGTTTGTTGCAAACAGAGAGCCAGTTATCTTGTCATTAATAACCATTTATCTGGTGTTTTGTAAATTGAAAGCAAAATATCACATACTCTGCAGGCCACCTAGTATGCAGGCACCAGGCAAGCAGCAAGGCCTCCCCAACTTGAGAGAACTGGTGCCATTTGTGGAGGGAGGGCTAGCCGGGCCTTCACTTACACTTCAGTAAGTATTTAATTTACTGACAATGTCCCCACAAAATTTTTTTGGGGGGGGGGGGGGGATAACAGCCAAAACTCATGGAGCAGAAGGTTCCAAGAGCTAACAACTAGTGCCTACCCCTTCGCTTTCCTTCTCCTTGGCAAAGCAAAGATGCAGTGTTGCATTTTTATAACCGCCACATAAAAAAAAAAAAAAAAAAAGGTTAACCCCGTTAAAACCGGGCTTTCAGGGACAGATTCTGTAATTCTTCCTGGGCAAGTAGGACGAGGGGCTTGTCCCTGCTGTCATCCCCAATCTGTTTTGCTGACCCCGTCCCCTGGCACTGTCAGCTCTACAGGGATGGGCCCTGGTGCTGCCAGCCAGAAGTTGAATGCAGACAACCACAATAGGGCTGGTGCCAGCATCAAATGGGCTTCTGCCCTGGCCCCCTGCCATCCAGTGACAAAGCAACAGGCAGGCAGACCGATGCTGAAAACTTTCATGGTCTCTCTACCAAGAATTCTGAGAAAACCCCAGGAGAAAACTGGGGCTGAACTGGGAGAGATAATCCCCTCTCAACTGGTCCCGTCTGAGGCTTCTGAACTATCGCTACCCACAGACTTTTCTGGCGCTCTCAAAGCTTCAGAATGTTTCCATCAACCTGTCCTATTTGGCTCCCAAGACATTCAATGGATTAAAAGCCTCCATGTGTTAAAGCTGAACTAACTTCCATCGCACGGTTCAAATGCATAAAAAGGGAACAAATTGTAAAATATGTCTGGGAAGGGGGGGAAGCTATCTTTATGGGGGGAAAATCCAATCACAACAACAGGGACAATCTACCAAACGTGCAACAGAAGAAACTGTAACTACCTTGAGCAAGCCATGCACCACCCCAGGCCCCAAGCTAGACCAGGGTTCTAAGAAAGGAAAAGACCTTTGAAAAACCATCTACTCACCAGTTGGTTTGAGAAAATCCATTGGGTATCTGGAGTAAGGAGGAGGGGGGGACTCTGAAATTAAAAAAGTAAGAGACTATAAAGACTGAGCCATGAGAAACAGAGATAGAAACTTATGATAACTCAGGCATTCTTTTAGCCCAACTGTTTGTCTTAGCTGTGGGGGTTGGAGGCAGGGCCGCGAGGCAGTGATTGCCTTGATATTTAGCTGTCAGATAAACAAAAGAGACCGCCTGGCGCCAGCCTCCGCGCTCCGCTCCTCCACGTCTGCGGCCGCCGCCGCGCTCAGCGGGCCGGGCTGGAAACCACCGGCTGGGCCAGGACTCCACCGGCGGGGCCGCATACAGAACAGTTTGCAGGGTGGGGGGCGCCCGGGGCTGCTTGGCGTCCTAGAAGTACAGAACCCGCTCCCCCGGCCGGACCCACCTCTACGAGCACAATTCACCTCCGCCCCCGCTGCTCAGCTTGGCACCCACGCGCCCAACTAGGGATTCCTACCCAGCCCACCCGAGAAAAAGCACTCTAAGTGTGCTGCTGAACTTGAAAGACTTGAGGGGAGCAGCGTACGCCCCTCTCCACCTTAAGCACAAAGATAAGATATGGCGAAAAGAGAAGACACGGAAGAGCTAGGAAGATAATATGGATAGTAACCTGTTCAAGGGTTCCAGCCACGAAGCGCAGGCCCCAGGGCAATTAAGAAGAGGGTCTGCAGGGGGCTGGGGTTCTAAGACCACTAATTGTACGCTTTTTCGGTGCAAAATAAAGGAAAAAGGAGAAGCCACCCAACTTCTCCAGTCCGTTTGTTCCTTCTCACCCTGAAGCTGGCACAGCTGAGAGTGGACACCCAATTCGGTCTCCATCCTACCACTGCCCCCAAACTCCAAAGCTGTGAGGCCAGGACAGTATCTGGGCCATTGTGCCCCACGTGACTGTCCTTATTTACTAAAGGAGAGGAGACGTTCCAGCTTTTATAGCTAGTTTCTCCCAGCCTTGCTTGGCGGGCTTGGAACAAATCCAACTCGGCCACACACCTCAACGCCTTTCCGGGTGCGGGGGAAGCGTGATCCCCACTTCGCTCTGTATTCCCTTACTGACCCGGAAATAGGTCTCATTTTCTGCAGCATGTCTGTTCACTATAAGCAGAAGCAGTATCCATGGGTCCTCCTCCGGAGGGTGGAGGGGAAGTGCGATAGAATATTGAAAGGGAACCCCAAGGAATATCCAAGCTTCCCCTTGTCCCTTCCCTGATTGAGTTCCCAGGTCTCCTCCAGAAGGGGGGGTTACACATACCCTCGGGCACTCTACCAGCACTTCCGCGCCAGAGGGGACGAATGGTGGGCACAGAACAACTTCTTACCTAGTTCGCAGAGTCGACTAAGGTGATGGGGGTTGCAGCACACCAGCTCGGGGTTGATCTTCCCGTAAGATTCACAGCAACACAGCCTCTTGACTTCCGAGGAATGCCTGAGATCCGGCCACCTGAACACTTTGCACAGCAGGAGGGGGAGCGAGTAGGTCGAGGGCGGCTGCGCGGGCTGCGTGCTGGCGGGCGCCCCCGGGCCCAGCCTGCAGTCCAGGCGGCCGGGCAGAAGGAGGCACGCGGTGCGCGTACCGCCGCGGGACTCCACGGCCTGGAGCAGCAGCTCCAACTGCCGCTCCTTGAGTTTCTTGAGCACCGAGTGCGTGAGCGCCTTCAGATCCGCCTCGGCGCCCCCGGCCGCCCCTGCACCCGACGTTGGGGGATGGGGATGGTGGTGACCTTTGGCACCTCGGACCGCCTTGCCCAGGCAGCAGCCAGCCCTGCCCGCGCCGCCACCAGCCCCATAAGCCCGGCCGTCCGTCGCCCCTTCTCCCCGCAGCTCGCCTCCGCCGCCGCCACCCCCCACGCCCTCCTCCTCGTCCTCGCCGCCGGGCGCACGGCTCCTCCAGAGACGCCGGACGAGCGTAGATCGTTTGGTCCTGAACATGCGGGGCGAGGAGGCAAGGAGAAAAGTCGTTTGCCGGCTAAGGAGCGAACATGACCTCCGCACACCATGAAGAAGTCGGGCGCCGAGTTGGGGCAGCAGGCGCAGGCGACAGCAGCAACAGCAGGGGCCCGGGCAGGAGCGGCGGCGGCCCGAGGGGCGCTCCGTGGCATGCGCCAGTCTCCCGGAGGCCGGGGCGCGCGCGGGGGCCCAGGGGCGCCCGCCGGGGATCGGGGGCCTGCGCTTCGGCTGCCCCACCCGGCGCGGCCCGCGCCCTGCGCGGCTCTCGGGCCCCGGCGCGCCCCGGAGGAACGCGGCCGCCGCTTCCCTGGGGGCGGCCGAGACTGCCCCGGTGGACGCCTCCCCCAAAAGAGGCCCCCCTACAGTGGCTTCCGAGTGTCGGGCTCGCCAGCCTCGGCTTCCTACATGGAAGATCCTCAGGGGCAAAAGAACGAAAGGCGTTAGGCTGAGCTACTGAAGGGAGAAAAAAGCCTCTTTCCCCCTTGCTAAGCAACTTAATTTGGGGGTGGGGAGAAGCAGGCAATTAAAAAAAAAAGCAAGCACACGATTTATTTTTTTCTTCTATATCCTTAGTAACCGGATCTCCTCGAATTCTGTGCACGCGAAGACTAGAGGGAGGGGGCCGTGTAGACTTCACCCCGCGTGAGACGTCTGTAGGGTCTCTCAAAAAAAAAAAAACCCAAAAACCAAATATGCAAAGCCCCCAGTGAAAAAACACAACACCTCCTCGCACCTCGGAGGTCTGGGGGCCACCGGATGAAGCCCGGGTTTAAAAGAGAAAATGTTTACAAAGTAGAACAAGATGTTCGAGGGGTGGGGAGGAAAAAAAAACGTATCCACGAGTTACATCCCCCTTTTTTTCCTTGCAGAACCCCACCGGTCTTCCTTTCCTTTTCTTCTGCCAAAAAAAAAAAATGTATTTCTTTTAATCCACAGAAAGGTCTGGCTAGGCTGCTTCAATCTTGCGTGTCTGGGTGTTTTAGAGTCTCTGGTCTTTCCTCCTGCGCTCCCGGGGGCCCAGGTCCTCGGCGGGGACTTCCTCGGCGCTGGGGAAGCAGGGACAGAAGATGCTGCGGCGGCGGCTGCGCCCCGGGGGGCTGTCAGCGCGGGGGAGGGCGGCGCGGCGGCAGGCTCTGGCGGGTCGCTAGCTCTAGCCCCCGAGGGCACAAGCAGCAGACTAGTATGGGGACCGCCGGTGCCCCTTCTCCTGGTCACGGGTGGCCGCCGAGGCTGCCCGCATGAGCTGCTGGCCCCGACCCGACTGTGGCGGCAGGAGGCCCGGGTGTCCTCTCGCTGCCTCTTCCTCCGAGACTCTCCTCGTCGCGCCCGGGAACCTCCTCGTCCCCCGTCCGCCCTCTCCTGGCGCTCGAGTCCTTCTGCCGCCGCTGGGGGCTCGCCGCGCCGCACTCAGGGACTCCGGGGCCGAGCGCTCGGCGGCGTGGCGCCGGCCGGCTGGCTGGCTGCGTCTCGAGCAGCTTTCTCCGGCGCGGCGAGCGGACCGAGCGAGGCGCCCGGCTGGCTCTGCTGGCGCAGCTCGGGAACAAGATCCTCTGAGCGCGGACCTGCGAGCGAGTGTGCCCGGAGCTCGCCGCCTCCCGCAAGGCCTCCCGCCTCCGCCCCCTTCCCTCCCCCCTATACCCCTCCCTCCCCCGCCCCCAGCCGCCGCCGCCTCCTTCCCGCCCCCCCCCACCCGTCCTCCGCTCGGCTGGTTCCACTGCGCAGTGGCGCGCCCGGCTCCGGCCTCGTCACGTGGCCGTCTAGACACCCTGTCGCTTTAAAAAAAAAAAAAAAGCGATTGTGTTTCGCAAACAACAGATCGGGTTTCTAAAAGCTATTTCAACCCCCCTCCCCGTTACCGCCACCCTCTCCCAGGTCTGCAGAGGGGTACCCATGGGCGGAGGGAGGTGGGAGGCCGAGATAGCCCCGGGGTCGGCGGAGACCCAGCGGGAGCAGGGGAGAAATCGGAAGAGCTGGAGGCTTGGAGCGGGCGAGTTTGGAAAGGAACGAGTCGGTCCGTGACCCGATTTAGACCAGCGGAGCTCGCCCCGGCGCTTCATTCATTCGATTTGTTTTAAGGCCCTGGCGGCGGATCCCTTGGAAAGGGGAGGCAAGCGCTGTCTGTTTCAAAGACATTTACACCGGCCAGGACAGAGGCCCTGGGAAGTGTGCGCTAGAGGGAACAGCCGGGCGGCCGAGGGCGGAGAGGCGGCGCGAATGTGACCTCAGCGGCCGCCGCGCTCCCTCCCGCCCTCTCCCGCTCCGGGCTCGGGTTTCTAGGACTGCCTGGAGAAGTGTGTCTTGTGCACAGCTCTGGAATGCATTTGGCAGGCTGACGAGCAGCGAGGGGCAGCATCCTGGAGGGAGGAGGGGTGCAGCTCGCCTGCGCGCCGCCGGCAGGTTTCCTCCCGGCCCGGAAGACCTCCGGCACCCGCCACTCAGCCTCCCGGCGCGGGAAGGTTACCCAGCGAGCAGACCTGTTTAGAGTTTTCATTCGCACGCCGGGCCTGTCGCTGCGCCCTGCTTGGCCTCGTGGCTTTCAAGGTGCTTAGGGTCAGAGTGTTTCGCCCTTGACCTCAGGTACCAGAGAAAGGTATCCCCAGATGCAGGTGACTGCTTAGAAGTAGGAAAGACGTTTGTCAAGCAAAGATCCTGGCTGCTGGTCTGAGAATAGTACCAGAGTGTTTACTGAGACCACTCGTTGGCATGGTGATACACTCATATTTACTGGGCTTTTAAAAAGTCGTGAAAGTGTGAAATTACGACTGTAATGAAACTCAGAGGGGGCTTAAAGAATTTTTACAAAAGGTTGAAAGTAATATTTATGTCTCTCCATCGGAATTATATGATTTGAACAGGGTAATTTTTAAATGCCCTCTCCATTCAGTAACAATACTTGATACATATTTAGAGGGCTGGAAGTATATAATTTAGTGGAGGTCCTGGGTTCAGTTCCTAACAACACACACACACACACAGAGTAGAAATCAACACTTAGAGTTGGGCATTCAGACCATTCTCCTACCCTACCAAAATCCTACGAATAAAAAAGAAAACCAACAGTTGTGGCCAAAGGATCCTCTCCCGGCTACCCGGCCCTAAGTTGTAGAGAGCAGACAGCAAAATGCCAAGAATATGGAACCATCAACAGGACAGAACAAGAGCAACACTTGGGAAGTGACTGGGTAGCAGAGTAACTTTGCTGAAAACTCAAGTGCAGCTTAATTGGAATTGTGTGTACACACTTTAAAGCCACAGTCAAAATGACCAAAGAAGGAATGGAGAAGAGATGAATTCACCATTGCAGGCAGGGAGTGACCAAAGAACTACCCCATCTAGGAAATGTGTGATGCAGTCACCTTAGGAAGGAATGGGAAGGGCTGGAGATGTGGCTCAGAGGTTAAGAGCACTCGCTGCTCTTCCAGGGGACCTGAGTTTGCTCCCCAATATCCACTTCTTTAGTTCCAGAAGAATCTGACCCCCCCTCTTCTGGTCTCCACACTGCATTCACACACGTGCGCACACACAAATCTTAGAAAGGCACAGGAAGACTTAAAAAACAAAACTGATTTCATGTTGGAGTTCTGCCCCTCACTGGGTGCAGCTTGTACTACCAGTGGTCCTCAGGTGAGATGCTGCTGTGGAAGATTTTTCTGAGGCTTTCTGAGGTAGTGTCGTGTTCTTACAGGGTCTTGCTTTCTCTCCGTGTTTTCTGGGTCTCACTAGACCAGGAAGGCTAAACCAGGCCACAAGGTGACAGGAAGAATTAAATAAACAGAAAGCAAGTGCCCTCCTTCTAATTAAGCTTTGTGGCCACACGGACAATCTGAAGAAATCTGGAACCGTGAGCGGCACTAATATCTCCGTGATGAAAGGCCTGAGTGTGTCCAAGGCAGATGGGTGTAATGGGTATCTCAGGAGGTTGAATCTGATGTCACAGCTTGTCTGGATGGAACGTGCATATACTTGCAGAGCTATGTTCCCATCTAGTGTAATTGTGGGTGTTTTAACTCAGGCGTCACCTCTATTTTGCCCTCTCTACACAGCTTTCCTCCTTGGTTTTACGACTTGACGTAGAAGCGGGTGGGATGCTGGGCAAGTGGCTGCAACGGCCAGTGCTTTATGGTTCCCTGGCATCCCCTGAATCTGTTAGCATCCCAGCCTTCTTGACAGCCAGCCCCACCCCATCACATTCTTACTCCTTCCCTTTCCAAGAAAGAAGCCAGAAGCCAGCAGTAGAGCTCTGCCTGGCTGGCAGGCCTAGAAAGGGAGGGCTCTCCTTTCGCTTCGCCTTCGCAAGTGGGACCCATAAGCGCCCGACTTCAGACTATCTGATCCTCTGTAGAAGAAAGTTAAGAGTCCAAGCTATTGTGAAGGAACTTGATAATAACTCTTTTTCTGGCAGAGAATGTGGAATAAAATATCTCATCTGCAGTTGTTTATTTCCTGTTGTGGCTTCTATTTCCATCTTTTAGTCACTTTGGTGATAGTAATCAAACCCTAATCATGGTGCAGCCACAAGTCACCAAGACTGAAATAGCAGACTTATGACAGACAAGGATGGAGACAGCTAAGGACCTGGCTATTAATCACCAATCCCTTGTTCACTGCCCATTGGCTAGGTGTCTGGAGAAGAGCTGAAGCAGAGAGATAGCGGCCTGTGCCTGAGGCCTCTGAGCAGCCAGAACCCCTAGATTCAGAGCAGCAAAGTGCACAGGAAGTGGCCGCAAAAAGAATAAACTCTCTGTATCTGTCGAGGAAAGACGTGGCTCACAGAAGGCCCTAATCTGAGCCAAATAGAGGACAAGAAGAGTCTCCCAAAACTCTTGACACCTCAAAACAAAGCAAAGGCAAAAACTCTCCTCTCTGGGAAAGACAAGATTCTGCCCCTTGATCCTTTTCTCATATTTTAGAGGTTCCGAGATGGAAGAGCAGTAACTCCACCGTGCCTCTGGGGGTGGGGTCAGGGTGAGGCAGGGACAGTTT